TTTCAAATGCATACTTGTTTCCTCCTCCTCTCCAGACACTTCTGCATACAGAAGCTTCCTTCAGTTCCTGATTTGGTTCAGTTTCCTTGTAACTGCTTCCATTAGAAAAACTAACAGTGGCTACATTTCATTTTAAACAAGTAAATAATTTTTAAAAGAACATTATTCAAAGTCTCATGTTGCTATTAACAGGCAGTTTGGAAGAGATGCTCCAAGCAGTCCTATACAACGTGTTTCAATATACCGGTGCACTGGAGTTTCACATGTAATGTTAATTCTGTCCGAGACAAATCCTGTAATCTTCAGTTTCAGAGCCCAATACCGAAAAACATCAGGGTGGGTTTCATTGGGGGTTTTGCTCCTCTGTTCCAAGGAAAAGTCCCAGGGTTCCAGTCTTTTGTATCCCAGTAACCCAAGGGCATAAATGGGGCATTGGGAAAATCACAGCAACCTGCTGTAACCGGGTGCAGGGAGCTTTAAGGAAGAAAAACAGAGGTGGCTCAGAGAACTGCTGGCAGATCTGAGCATACAGAAGCCCGATGGGGGTTTGGAACCTTTAGTGGCTCAAGTGGGAGAGAGAGAGGTGTCTTCTTAAATGTTTCCAGGTAAGGAAAGTACCTTACTTGGAGGTCATAGCTGAATCTGACCTTACATGTTCCTGTTTTGATTGTTTTCTAAGATGTCTGATTTCATTTGCATGGGATGCGCCGTCTTCTTTGTGCTCCTCTTTTGTGTGATTAAAAAACCATCTCTGTACGCAGTAAACCACCACCCAACACTGGCAAGCATGGTTTTGGGTTACAGCTTTGTTGGGGTAACAACAGCCAGGTTCGCACCCGGCATGAGATGCGGGTTCAAACAAGTGGTGTGCGCGCCCTGGCTGGCTGCCTCTGGTTAAGTAGAGGCTTGTGTGCGGCTTCTGCGTTGCAGGTAACCGGAAAAGGTGCATTGCAAGTTGGCGCTGCCCAGACGCCAAAAAGGTCACTTCCCCATTCTCGAACTCGCCTCAGGCTGCGCCGGGTCCAAAGATAAAAAGAAAGAACGTTCGAGGGAAAACGAAATACAGGGGAGTAGGAGAAAAGGGATGAGCCAAGGGTAACAATTCCCCCCGCCCCCTGAAAACCCCAGCTCAGCGTCCGGGCTCCCAGCAGAGGGCCGGAATCCTCCAGACCCACTAGCCAAAGCACCTGGCTTTCCCGGGAGGGTCCCCGGGGACCCAAGGCAGGACCAGCTGGGTCCCGTCTGTCCCAGGACGTGAGAGGCCGCAGGCGCGGCGGGAGGCCCAGCGGTGGCTGTGGCTGCGGCCTGTCCCTTCACTGACTGGAAGACAGGTCCCCTTCCCAGCCGTCTGCAGCGCAACCTCCCGGGAGTCGTGAAAACTAGCAGCCGTGGGCCCCTCCAGTCTCTTTCGCCTTCTGGCCAACTCTCTCAGTCAGTCGGCTTTGCTTTAGCTCCTTCGGGCGCGGGGAGCTCGCCTCCTGCCGGGGCCACTCCCAACCCCCCGAAGCCGAAGTGACCCCAGAACTCTGCCAGATTTTGAGGCTACCCAGAGACAGGCGCCCAGGCCTGCGACTGCAACAGAAGCCTGCCTTCAGGTCTCCGGGTGGGCTGGAATGAAGGGGTTGCGCTTCCGCCCGCGTGCAGGCCTGGTGGCGCTGCCTCTGGCTCTACAGAGGCCCAGGGCTGTGGGTCTGCGCACGCGAGCTCAGCCCAAGTCCACTGGGCCTAGTGGGCGGGCTGCGGCTGCGGAGAGGATCTGGGTTCGGAACAGGACGGGAGCCAGGCACGAAAGAGCGCAACTTGGCCTGATGAAAAGCTCCACCTAGTCCCCTTCCTTGTCCCGCAGAGCTGTGCAAGCGGCCCAGGGGGGCGGCACCAGCTTGCAAAGCCGACTGGTTCAGCTACCCCCGCTTGGGATCCCGGAGGCAGAGATAGGAGTGCTTTCCCCAGGTGACTCCAGTTGCCAYTCAAGATTTGGAAAATGTAAGCCTTAAGAAAGAGTGCCGTGAGTCCGGGCGCACAGCACCCGCGGCCTCCGTGGGCCGCCTTGAACTCACACCTCGCACCACGTTTACTCGCAGTCCCGCCCCGAGCCTCCACGTCTGCCGCCTTTGKCGACAGCGCTGAGGTGGGGACACTAATAGCAAAGGTGAGATTAGAGGGAAGCGTGTGGGAGAGGGAGTTGAGAAAACTGACCATTATCTAAAACCAGGGGGGTTCCAAAGCCCGAATTTAATTGACTTGATTGAATTTCTCTTATCTAGGAAGGGAAGAAACATTCTCAAGGTGAAATGCAAAGGGCCAAGAATCTTTGTGGGAAAGATAAAGGTTTGGGGCAACTGATCTTACCAAAACCATCTACCTCCACCCTMATCTCTGCCTTCCATTACATGCCCCTTTATTCTATTGTCGTCTCACTTTTCCTTAATTGCCAATATGCATCTGAAGTAGCGTCCTGACAGCTTTTGGAGGACAGCGTCATTTCAGTACCAGGGAACACCGTCACTGGGCTTAACTTCATTAAATCCGGTCTTGACCACAGTGGTGATCAAACTCTCTGGCTGTCTTTAAGCCAGTGCTCGCTCCCCGCCCTCTTTCCCTCCCTGTTGCCTTTGCTCAGGGGGAATTCATTTCTACTTTCTCCATCATCCAACGGGATTTAACTGCGAGGTTTCAGACAAACGAAGTTGTGTAAAGGTGATGGAAAAAAAAAATTAGTTTCAGAGGATGCTTAGGCCTCCTCTTTCTAACCTCGTTTTAAGTTTCAGTTGAGAAACTGTGTATTTGCTGAGTAGCCCGACATTTGCCGTCATTATTGCTTTTTAAGAAAAGGTAATCTTTCCCGTCCCTTTGTGAGGCTTCCTGAAAACTCAAAGCAGTGTGCGAAATTGGTTATTTGGGATCTGCTTTACTATTGCAGGAGAAAAGCTGGGAGATTAAGACTCTGAATCTGAGAAAAACTTAAAACACTCGGCCCCAATTTTACTTCTGGTTTAAGGATGAATATTATCAGTAGGTACTGGAAAATCTTGCCAAATTTCAAGGTTAAGTGTTGATTGTAAAGCTATTGCATTATTGTATTTCCTTTAGCAGGACAACAGTTTACCTATTAGGCTGGATGAAGTAGAGTTCAAGAGAGCATGCGCAGGCAGGACGGGAACATGAACTAGACAGAAAACAAAATGGTTGCAACTGCTAACCTTCATTTAAAAAGTTACAATCAAAAGTCACTAATTTTGGTCAAATTTAAGAACATAATAAGTTTAAAATGAAATTAAATATTGCTTTTACCTGAGGAGCACCATGATCATTGACCCATTTATCTTTTCTGGTGAGTGAACAAAATGCAGGTACAACTGAAAAGGGACCCTTTTTTCCCCTTAACACTTTCTCCCCCCCCCAAAAAAAAAAAAAAAACTGACCAGGGTGCCTTATGTTCAAGTACTGAAATTATAGGTTTTAAAAGTTTTCTGAAACTCTTTTGTTCAGAAATCACTTCTGCCTGAATTGCTTTCAGATTCTGATTACACTCCCTCTCATGTTTACCTCAGATTTTTTTTTAGAAGTTTTTAAAAAATCCCCCTAATAAGAGAATAGTAACAAGAAATTCCTGTTATTATCATTTTCTGAGAAGTATTCCAGTTCTTCTTCTAAAAATTCCACCTATTTAAAAACTTACTAATAAAGTGCCTAAGGAATAATTCAGGTTTGTAGCAGGGAGGGAAGAGCAAGGATAATAAGATCCTAATGATTGATTGTTAGGCTCTCTAAATTCAATTTCAGAGCAATTCGGATGGAAGCCAAATAATTTACAAACCATTTTGTCATTCATATCTAGTTCATCCATCGATCAACAGCAAAAAGTAAAAATTGCTAATTTCCTTGCTGCTCTACCAAAAACATTTTGGGAAGGTGAAGCTTAATGTAGGATTCTCATTCATAAATAGTGGTGTAAAATTAAACTAGACCCAATGTTGTGCTAGAACCATTTTAATATAATTATACATATCTGCCAAATCCAGGAAGAAAAGGTTTATGCATATATAACTTCCAGTTAACATCTGCAAGCATAAACAACAATGATCTCAGTTTAAAAATTCATCAGGGTCAGAGCAATTGACCAATGTCTCTTTACTGCTAGGCTTACCAACAGTAAAATACAGATGAATTAATGTCCTTTATTTCTCTTCTCTCACTCTCCTTGTCCAGACATTTTGTCGTAAAGTTTCAGTGCAGCTCACCTCCAGCCAAAAGTAATCTTTTAAAATCAGTACTCAGTTGCTCTGAATTTTGCTTATAATTATAACCTATTTAATCACGAAGAACTCCTGRAGAGGTGGAGTTCAAGGTTGCATACAATAACAGGAGATCACAGTTTTGAAGTCTAGCACAGATTAAAAACCACAGATGTACCATTTATATAAGACACACACTGATTGTCTCTTAAACTACATATTGACTMCTTATGAACATTATTTTTTAAATAAAGTAGTGCATCTAGGACAATCAGTCGCACAATTCACACAGCCCTGAAAAGTTTTTCAGTGCCAACTACCAGTTGGTCATGAAACGTGAATGAGCTTGAGACACTGTTCATTCCTAAGATTCAACCAAGGATTGGCTAAAACATTGGATCACCTCTGCTTATGAAGGCTAGGACCTTCCCTCCCTTCCCTCACAACTTGTTGTGTGATTTTTATTTTTTGGTTGTGTTTGGTTGCACATGGCTAGAATGCATTTGATAGATCACTTTGTAAATCAGGAAAACCAATGATCTACAACTATGAGAGGATCTTAAGCAGATTGGTTTGTCCATTTCAGGTTGCTGGTTGGTAGGCCCCTTTAAGGTCCTTCATTTTTCCTTCTATGCCTCCTGGAACTTTCATCAGAGGAGTCTGAGCATCATCCCATCTAACTCTTTTAACCAATGCCTGGCTAAAACTGGAAYGTCCAGCCCAGCATATTTAAAAATCACCCACAAAAAGAGGTTCTRYAGGTCTTCACAAAACCTGGAATTTCCATGAGGATGTCTGATCTTTATAATCCAAGCAGTCAGCATTGAAGTTAAGCTTCCAGGAGGCAGTTTGGTCCTTATAATCCAAGCAATCAGTGGTTGAGTTAAAACCCAGCTTGTAGCTCCATATTCCTGGGTGGAAAGAGAAGCTGGGGACTGATTGAGATGGCTGGTAACTGCATTGGTACCCATGGGACTCAGTGTGGCCCCTGGTCCAGGAAGCTGGTGATGCATAGGGGTCAAATAAGATCCACAGTCCATGCCCCCAAAGTAGGAAGTTGAGCCAGCATATCCTTGMCTATAACCTGAAGCCTGAGTATAGGTCATGGGATAGGACCTCTGCATGCAGGAAGAGGAGGTGGACAAGGGATCTGACAGTGGGGAGATGGAAGCTGGGCTCCAGATAGACACTGGAGCACTGCTGCTGGCAATGGTAGGGACTGAGGTGCTAGAGGGGGGAGTGAACTGGCCACTTGTTCCACTCTCTGAACTCACTTCCCGAGCTGGAGATGTCTTCTTTTTGGCAGGTCTCACTTTATTTTGACCTCCATTCTGTTGTTGCTGCTGCTGTTGGCGGCACTTTGCTCTTCGATTCTTAAACCATACCTTGAAAGGGAAAGAAAGTTCTTTAACATGGATTCAGTAACTTGTCAGGGACAAGAGTGGCTCCTAGATAGAAATCTGTCCTACACAGACAGATGAACTAAGTAGATACTCTCCCTGCTACTAGAGACCCATTACGAGGCACCCTCATATTTGCTTCTGGAGTTGGGGAGGCTCTGTCTAAAAGCACTTGTCCCATCTTGTCCCCAGTGCAKAACAATAAATTTTAAGAAAAAATCCCAAACCATATGGCTAAAAATTCTCCACCTCACTTTCTTATTTCTCCTTTAATAGACATACACATAGAAAAATTATATTTTTTGATGCATTCATGGTGGAATGTCTTTTGGAGGGAGACACAAGAAAAGAGAGGGTGAACAATGTTGTTATATGCCAACAACAGCAGCTTAAATTCAGACAGTCTATAGTCCCTCTTCCAGGGATCCACAGATAATATGGAGATTGGTTCCATCACCTTATATTCTGTTTCTCCTAGAAAGACTTGCTTACAAAAGAAAGCTCAGAAGACATGATCCTGTTGAGAAAAGCTGTCTTAAAAGCCACTATTTGCTGAAAGGTTCTTTATGAATGGAGTGACTTGGATGTTCTCTTCTTTGAGCTCAAGGAGAGACCCCTCTATAATCTTCGAGGCTCAAATCTGTGCCTTCAGAGTAGTGCCACTCAGCCCATAGATGCCATTTCCTGTACTATGTTCACTGGCCTGTCAACTTAAACCTCTGCCTACAACTTTGAAAATTCTCTTTACCAGCCCTGTTCACACTCTGTAATGAAGGAACAGTGTCTGGTGTGTGAGGGGGGCTTATCAGAGAACTACTGGCATTTTCTGGGGTACAAGTCCTTAATTGTCCTCTTGAATGAGCTCTCCTTTTGATATTATAACTGTGGCAAAGTGGTGCCCYTAAGGCCACACTCAATGCCACCAACCATTCAGAGCCATTTCTTTTCTTCCAGTGAGGACTTTGATTCAATCCTCCCAAGTGCTAAAACTTCTTCCAACCCACTTTGAAAAGGCATTTTCTGCTTTGCAGTTCATGCTGATGGCTGGCAGTGTCACAAACTTGTCCTAGCTGAAGGAGAGACCCAGGTGTGTGTGTGGTTTAGATGCTAAACACTTTTTCCAGAGAACTCTGTATGGGGTTTGATTTCCAGGCAATTCAGAGTTGATTTTCCCTGTTAAGGAGGACTAAACCAAGGGAGAGGTATGTTACTAGAGATATTGTAAAGGCATTTTATCTGCTAAATAACCTAGAACTAGAAAATTTGATTTGATCCCGAAAAAGTCAAAGAAAATACATTTTTATTGTATGAACTTATTTAGTAAAAGCACCAACTGTTTCTCTTGCCTGGCTCTGTCACCAAATTTAGGTATGATCTTGAGCAAGTCATTTGCTCTGTTTCTTTATCTATAAAAATATTTAGACCGCAGAGGAGCTAAGATTCTTTCACCCCTCAAAGTCCAGGAATATAGGGGAGGATTTCCACATAGGGGAAGGAAGGGAAGAGCTAAAACCTTGCCACTACCTGAATCTCTGCCCAACAGAGCCCCAAGGACTCATGACAGTAGCTTAACTGACACTCTCATCTTGCAACCTGGACTGAGAGACTCTTGATGATAGGACTAAATGAGAACGGAGAGGCAAAAAAGGGGAGAAAGGAGATTAGTTTATTGGTCCCCATAGAGTCTCAAGCCTTCCTTTGGTCCTAGCARAGATCTAGGGCTCTCTGAGGTCTTCAACATACATCCCGATTGGGAGAGGGGTGGCACCGTCAGGAAAAATTGCTCAGATCTGCCCTACCTGCACTCTGGATTCAGGCAAGTTGATTTTCAGCGCCACTTCTTCCCGCATGAAGATGTCTGGGTACCGGGTCTTGGCAAACAGCGCTTCCAGTACGTCTAGCTGAGCTCGGGTGAACGTCGTCCTCTCCCGCCGCTGTTTCCGAGGGGTGGCTGCGGGACAAGAAGCCCAGGGCCCTTTAGGGTGGGGGAGCAGTTTCTCAGTCACAGGGGTTTCCGCGGGTCCTCCTTCTATCCCACTTCTATCCCACCTTCCCCCCTCTTCTCCCCCCGCCCCTCCCAACGCTCTCCCCTCCAAGGGCCTCGGCTCAGGACATACTGCCCTTTTCAGAGTAGCACCCAATTCTGAATGAGTTCGGAGATCACTCAGCCAGAGCATTACTTCGAAAGCTAACAAAACAAGCGGGAGAAAAAAAGCCCAAATCCTCCCAAATCCACCTCAAACCACAACACAAACGAAAAAGCCACTYGGTTAAATCAAAGCATCTCGGAGGACAGGAAGCTCGGATGGATCGCGCGAATCTGGATCCAGCTCCCTTGGCTTTTAGCACTCCGAGAGCCTTTATTCCTCCATCTTTGAAATGGGAACATAGTTCGTACTTTTATGAGGCTTTAAAAAAACAACAACACAGATCTGATCGGAAAGGAAAGCACCCGCATCTGCGGGAGTCACAACTTCCCCGGATTAAAGGAGAAGGAACTGGGGGTCAGGGGAGAAGTCCGGGCGAGGCGGGGAGAGCTGCAAAGGGCGCACTAGAGAAAACTCCGCTTCTCCAAGAGGGCCCTTCGGAGGAACTAGGAGTGGAGTTATAAGCAAGGGCCTCGCCCCCAAGTGACAAGGGCAGTAACCTTTCTCACTCTACCCCAATGCGTGTCCACTAGTCACTCGAATTACGAATCAAGTGGCATGATTTTCTGCAACTGTTGCAGACCCACCTACTCGCTGCTTCCCAGCCCCTGTTCTCTTCTCGGTCAGTAAATGCCTGGTCTTCAATGCTTCCTTGCAAGGAAAACCCAGCAGGGACCTCACCAGGAGCTGGGATGGGGTCGGCATGACCTCCAAACTCAGGTACGGGGGGAAAAGGGTGTCACAACCCCGTGRAGCGGGCGTGGGGAAGGGCGGGGCAGGAGTGCGGGAGAGCTCACTTACCCGGGTAGCCCACGGAGGGGTGCAGCAAGTCCATACCCGAAGTGGTCAGACTCAGCCCATTGACTGCGTAAGGTGGTTGCTTAAGATAAGACATCATGCTAAGGTTGTTTGGAGGTGCAAAGTCGGCCCAAATGGGGGAGACCCAGCCGGAAGATCTCGGTTCGCCTGGGGTGGACAGGTTCAGGGTCCTTGGTGGGTGGGTTTGCAGTGGTGGAACTAAGGGCAAAACAAACAAACAAACAGAGGTGCTGGTTTACTGCTTCGGAGGCAGCAGCTCTCTCACGTTCCACCACTAACTAAAAAGAGCCCGGGCTCCGCAAGGCAGAGGCTTTTAAAGGACTTGCAGACAACCCCCCTCCACCTCCACCTCCAGCTGCTCGGGAACTAGAGGGGGATAGAGGGAGACCAGATAAACCTGTCTTCCCCACCCCCACCCTAAACTTAAAAAAAAAAAAAGACCCTAAGAAAGCAATTACAATCTGCCTTCCCCAAGAACAAAACCCCACGCCTTCAAATACACACATTGCATTCCTATCCCAACATTTGCATAGAACTCATTGGCTGGCACTAGCTAATTGTCTCAAACAAAACTTGATTGGGGCCATTTGCAGAGACAAAGAACTCTTTGGCTAAATAAATAATGCTGATAACAAAGCCCATTGGTGAGAAACAAAGAAACAATTCAAGAAATCTACCTCTCCCCAGACTGTTGCCTTTCCATGACAGAGATTTTAATTATCTTAGCTTTTTACCACTTTCAACTGCTGCGAACCTAAAATGTCAGTGCATTAAACATCTAAAATACCAACTTGCTAAACAACAAACTTGAGAAAACTGCCCAACCATTATTATTCCACATTTAAAGTCATTTCCAGTAATCATTTTCACCTAATTAGTAGTCTGGATAATTAGATTTCGAGGTAAGTAACAGATTTATTAGGGTTTTGGAGAACCTTGATTATATGTGTCTAAAACAACTAAAGCTAAACAAACAAGTATTTAACTTTTAAGCGACATCCATCAAATATTTAAACATGCTGCAAAAAAAGTGTTCAAGATTGGCATAGGGCTTGCCGGAAATTCTGAAGTAAAGTTAGAATCTCACCMATCAGATAATGACAGGCCCCAACATTTGCAAGTAGAAAGGGTGCACATTTGTAGTGCAAGCCGCTTCCATGTTGAATTTGATGTGTGGAAGCTGCAGATGCTGCAAGAGGAGGCAAATTTTCCGACAGTTGGGTGCTCAACAGCAAAGTTTCCTGCTAACTGGAACTGGCTTTTGCACATTTTAGTTTTGAAGAAAACAGATACATAAACACGAAAGTTGTGAAACTAATGCAATTTCTCCCCACCTTWAGAAAATGAGCTGGGAGGTGGGAGGGGAAAGGAAGAAAAAAAAAAAGTTATTTACTTTCTCTAGTTGAATTCTTCCTGCCTCCTCCCAGTACAGAGATTCAAAATAGATGTATACATTAGCTAGCAGTTTGCAGGTTTGCTTTTATTTTCCTAAAATGTGGCACTCATCCTGCAAGGATCTCTCCTTTGAAACTTTGACACTATGGGACATTTCCTCAAAATGGCGGATAGAAGATTAGCAGTTCTCTCTTACTTTTACCAAGGTCTTAAATGAGTTTTAAGGGCGTTAGGTTTTCATATTTATATTACTTAAGACATGGAGGCACAAAGTTCCACTAATGGAACTCAGTTATTGGGACTTCTTCATGATTTCAATTCAGAGCACAAGTCATGCTTTTTCACCCTAAGATATAATTTAATGTAATTTTATAAATGTCCTTCTTGGAGGAGTTGGTATTATTAATCAGTAAAACTAATGCAGTTGCTCCTACGAAGAATTTGTTTTGTATTCTTCTCTTTTCAGGATGCAGTTTATTTAGAGGCTATGAAAGTAACATCGCTTTAAAATACGATCATTTATTTRTTTCAATAGCCCCTAAGCTGGAGTCCTTTTTTTGTTGAATACATTACTACCTTGGAAAGTTCTGAACTGCTATAGAGAAAGCTAGCCATAAAGTACACACGAGAAATATGGAAGTGTTCTTACATGTCTAGCTCTCATCCAATTAGAAATGCCTGACACATCATACAATAAAGTAACACATTCCAACATAAAAAAGCAGTAATAGAAAGCAACAGGACMGAGAGCCTTCTTGGAGTTCCTTTGCCCTTGCCCATCACCAAATGGCTAAAATTCTCAGGATAGACTATTTTCACTTTGACTACTGGATCCACCTTTAMAAGAGAAAGAGGAAAACAAAAACAAAACCACGGGGTACTCTCAACGACCAACAGAGGTATTCCCTACCCCAAGAAGTGGCCGTGGGCCCTTCTCTCTAACTTTCGAATCCCTCTACGGACGCCTGTCCCCCTTCCTCTCAAAGCAGTGGAGAAGAGGAAAAAGAAATACCCTTTCAGTATGACCGYTCACGAGGCGAGGTGGCCTCAGGAGAACTCATGCCTAGGAGGAAACGGCGGTAGTGCGGTGAGTCCCAGCAGCCGGTCGGCGCCCGCACCCCCGGGCGCAAGTGGCTCGGTCCGGCGTCCCTGTCCGGCAGCCCCGCAGCCCGGGCGCCCGAGGTCCCGCTCCAGTGCCCGCGTCGGCCAGCGCAGCCTTATATCTAACGGTCAATTCGTGCAATCTGTCGCTTCCCCCTCCCCCCACCTTGTTTTTTTTTTCTTCCAAGAAGCCCATCTACCAGTTGCTGTGTCCTCGCTCAATAATAATTACCTCGTCCGAGAATTAATTATAATAAATGTTTTCTTGATAAACTAACGAGATAATCCGAGGGGCACACGTCCCTTAATTACAGGCCGCCGTGCTCAGCTCTGCTTCTCGTCCTGGCTGATTAATTTTCTGCATGATGGAAAGGAAACAAAACTAGGCGGACTGGTGACTGTGCGGCTGGGACAGACGACGGAGAGGGCMAGGAAGGCAGGGAGGAGGAAAGAAAGAAAAAAGGAGAGGTACGGGCACCGCAGAAAACAGCAGGCGCTGGCCTCTCCCCCGCAAACTCGAGTGAAAGTTTCTGGCCTCAGGGAATCAAACAACTCTGCCACCCGCGAGGGAGGGAGGAAGAAACGTGCCAAAAGGGTTGGCCTTGACTATTAATTATCGTTAGGAGAAAGCCCGGGTGTTAGCTCTGGAAGAAGCCTGGGTGTCTACCTTACTTTGGGGGAGGAGTTTCCTCTCAACTCCTCTGGTGCTAATAACTTTGGGTGGCTAGAAAAAGTCGCGAGGTGAGCAGGAGAAATGCTGATGGAGGGCCATATTACAAGGAGCGGCTTCCCCTCCCTCCCCCAAGTAATCTTCCACTGCCGGGTAGACGAAGCTCGGCCTTCTCCGCACACCACCACTGTCTGTTAAGGGGTAATTCTGATGGGGCACTTGGGTTTCAAATTAAAAAAAAAAAAAAAAAAGTGCCCTGAAATCGAACATATGCTTTCAATAGTCACTTGAATGCATCAACACGACGACTTCTTCGGAGTTTGCGGCGCGACACGTCGCTCAGGCCCAGTGTTGGCAGAGACCCTCTGTTGATTCTCGATGGACAGACAGAGCAGAGGCTGTGCCTCTGCGAACCCCTGGATCCCGGCCCGGYCGGGCCCGGACCCACAACACTTCAATGTGCGCGAGCCTGAGAGTGCAAGAGCGCGCGGGCGGGCCCCACCGCTGCCGCAGACGGAGTACAGCTGAGGGACCGAGATCCCCAGCGGAAGGATTCCCGTCCCCAGCCCGGCTGCGGCCTCCGGCGGAGCAGGGGCCCCTCGCCACCATTTCTGCACTCCCCAGGTGCGCGCGGAGGGCTACGCGGAGCGCACACCAAAGCATCCTCGGCAAAGTCACGTTGGAAAACCACACTTCCTCGCTGCCTCGGCCTGGTGACCCAGGTCTAGGATCACGACTACCGTGTGTGGTAGGGGGAGGGGAGCTGCACTCCCAGGGATTGGGGTGGGCGGTGTGATTAAAAAAAAAAATACGAGAAAGGGAAGCCTTTGGAAGATGATGAGAACAGAGCTGTTCTTGGCTTTGGAAGAGTCGAGCAAAAAGGAGCGGCGAGCTCTGGGGTGGAGGCGACGCCGGCGCTGCCCGCCTCCTGGGTTAACCGCTCGGGTTTCGGTTCATGTTCTTTAGGGGTAATCTGGGGGTTTGAGAGGTGGCTGCCGGTCCCAGCCGACTCGCAAAAGAGTTGGTCTTCAGGCCCAAGGGCCCAAGGAAGCCTCTACCCTATTATTATTATTATTATTATTTAACCCACCCACCTAGCTACATCTGCATCTTTTTGTCTCGGGCTCTAAAAACGTCCTTGGGACCAATCCAAACGACCCCAACCAAACGTGGGGGCCAAAAGATCGAAGGCAAAATCCCAGAATGGCGTGGACATAAAAACCCACAAACAACCCCCCTCCCAAACGCCCCAGATTAGATTCGCAGGATTTCGACGATTTGCAGTAGTGGCGACCCCCGGGAGCACACTCCCTCCCGCCCTCCCACTCCCGCCCTCTCTCCAGATTGTCAATTTTTCTCAATGATCGTTATTACACTTCAAATAAAAGAGAAAAAAAATACATCGGGCTTCAGATGAACTCCACGTTCGCAGTGGTGCATGGGTCGGTCTATTGGAGGTCGGGGGTGATGACAGACAGAGGGATACATCGATATGGATATAGACAGACAAGACAAACGGACACTTACCTTACAGCCGCATTGGAGGTTAAGGGGGGAAAATCAAATTATCCTTCAGAATCCCAAATATCCAGCTATCCTAAAAGAAATCAAGAGTATTCAGTTAGAAACCTTGCAGTCTTCACCCTTCCATAAAAGTCGAACACAACCAAAATATATTATATATTTTTTTCCAGAGAGAACAGAATATGAAGAAAGTGCCTGAGTTAGAAAGGCGTGCGCCCCTCTAAGATACATACAAAGTAGACGTGGTGAGTGAGGGCTGCTGTAGCGATTTTTATTTTTAATAACAGTGGAGGCTGAGTTGGAGCTGAGGTCGGTTCCGCTCTCAGGGAGATTTGCTGAGAAAGCGCCTCTCTGGCAACTTTTTGACGCAAACTCTCCAACCAATGGCA